CGCTGCACAATACCAAAAAGTTCAATTCACAGTGAACTAAAAATAGCTGCAAGATTATTAAATTTTTTAAAAGGATAATATAAAAGGATTGCCAAAAAAAATGCGTCAAATATCATAATAATTATCATGATCAACCACAAAATAAATGGAGAATCAAATTGCAACTTATATGGTTAATTGTTAATATCAACTTTATGTTTTTTTAATCACCAGTTTGGTATGGAGATAAAGATGGAGATGAAAATTTCATTGATCAATTTTCAATACAATTTTACCAATAAAATTGAACCATCATTTTTTCAATTTTTAACACTATACCAAACTGATGCTTAAGCATAATTATCTTCAGTTTGACCCCTATTTTAAAAACTCTCCGGTTTTTTTTTTTTTTTTAACCTCCTTTTACATATTTTTCAAAGATAACCAAAGCAAACAGATTTGCTAGAAATCACAATAACTTACATAAAATGGAATATAAGCATGTCTGCCATTGACCGGGCCAACTGTGAAGCCTGTGTATCCAGCCATTGCACCATGAACAGCACTATGAGCAAGGAGAGTGCAATACACATTATCAGAAGCAATACTTGGAACAGCACGGATCATGTAGGTAGGATCTGCCAACAGCAGAATTTTCTTTTGGTTAGAAAATTTTGTTTATTCAAGTAATATACTATCATTTGTACCAGTAAATAGAAGAAGTCGCACCAATGTACTTCAGATTTATAGCCATTTTTTGATGTTTTGCAAAGTGGTCCTACAACAGAAATAAATAAATAAATTTGTTACTTGGAGAAACGAAAAAGAAAATTCTGCATCATGGAAATCTTGTGATTAGGATAATAGGCCAATTGCTTGGATGTAATTTGAGAGAAAATTCATAGTTCAAATGATGTTAAAGCAAGTGAGATTACTAATGATGCTGTGAAATAAGAATATCTTACAAATAATTTTATATATCTATGTAGCTATCTTGAATATATACAATGAATTCTAAATTTGATCATGTTACATATGTTTTTTCTTCAGATTCTTGGAAGTACTAGACTTCAAAATTGTTAATTATAATGCAAGAAAAATAATGCTCAATAGAAAATACATACTTCAGGAGTATTATTCAGGGGTTTATACCTTAATCTTCTGGGATAACCACAGACCAACATCTTGAAGTAACTTGTTGCCAGAAGAATCCTGGTTATTCATAGCAGATAGGCTTTCTGAAATAAGCTCCTGACCTGCACCTTCAGTTATGACTATAACCATGTGCCCATTTTCTTTGAGTCTTTTCTTAATGAACTCAAAAAGTCCACCTGGACCCTCAAGGTAAAAGGGTGACTCTGGAATTAAGCAACAGTCCACATCTCTGCTGGCAAGAGTTGCATACAAGGGTATAAATCCTGCATGGTTAGGTCATGTCAGGTGACTATAAAAACTATTAATCTTTACAGAAAGAGGAATGCTAAGATCAAGAAATGATTCAGTGTTAGCTGATTCCATTGATAACGCTTGTAATTGAATATTGCTTGGATAAGGTTCCTCTATAGTGTGAGCTTGTTTTTATCATGGAAGGTGGTATAGGAGAAAAGATAATGCTACCCATCATGTAGACCAAAGATCTGATGTTACTTCTATGAACCAAAATAGAACAATTACTGATATTCTAGAAGGAAGATGTTGCAAATCATGAAGGAACAATCTGGCAAGATCACTAAAGGATAAGTGTTTGTCAATGTGGATGGCCCTGAAATAACTAAAGCCAGACCTTTCAGTCACCAAATATGTCTGGGAAGGATGTGTCTCATGATTTGGTATGAAAATGACCAAAGATGACAATAGAATAACTACAAAAAAGAAATTGAGAAAGAATTGTGAACAGGGATTTTCTGAATATAATCAAGCATCAAAGCAGCTTGCAAGTAATCTTTCAGATCTTTGACTCTATATTGATACAATCAGGCTAAACTTGTAAATTACCACAAGAATTAATGATACTTACCACTAAAACGACCCATTAACTTGACAACACCAATTCCATTCTCAATGCTTTCTGCTTCCACATGTGCTGCATTTATAGCTCGTTGTGCCTCTTCAACAGCCGTGTCGAAACCAAATGACTTATCAATAACCTAATTCAGGTACAGCATGGGATTAACTAGGTAACTCTTTAAACAAATCTATTTTCTTCTGGGAAAAATAGCTTCTAAGTGCAGGACTTCAAATGTACAATTCAAGCATGCTTACTGGGATATCATTATCAACAGCTTTTGGAATTCCCACCACTGAAACTTTCAAGCCACGCCTTCCAATTTCCTGTGTGTAAATAACTAAACCTTATCACTATAGCTTTAACTATAAACGATTATTATTTCAAGAAACACATTTAAAACATGTTCTCATCAAGCTAATCAGGAATTGCAGACATAACAAAATTCAAATTTATGCAAACTGCATAACATGACTTGAACAACGTCATAAATTAATCACCTCAAAAATCACAGAAGCCCCTCTCTGAGTTCCATCTCCTCCAACTATGTAAACCTGATTAATTCCCCGATCTTGAATGCTATCAACAATCTTTGAGGTGTCATAGCCTCCTCTTGATGTTCCAAGGATAGTTCCACCACGTTTATGGATGTCATTGACAACCTTTGGTGTTAATGGAATTGTATTTTGACAATAAAAACCTCTATATCCACCCTGCATACAATTGAAGGGGAAAAAAAAGAACACTGTACTATTATGTTTTACCAAAAATCTAATGCTCATAAAAAAAATTACAAATACTTAGAAACAAAGAAGGCACATGAAGTGATTACTAAGTGGTACATAAAAGATACCTCTATTCCAAGGACTTTGTGCACCCCATACATATAGTATAAGCCGCAAACTATTTCTCTGATCAATGTATTTACACCAGGACATAGACCCCCACATGTGACAATACAAGCATACACATCCTCTGACTCAAAATATACCTGGAAAACATTCAATCATTATTGTCACCCCAATGCTTTAGTTTGAAAAGAAAAATGAAAACAAAGAAACCAACCTTTTGACGAGGCCCAGCACGGCGAAAATGGGTCCCTCTTGGGCTATTCTTATGTATAACTATCTATACAAAGAAAGAAACTTGAATCAACGATTCAAGAAAACTGAAACAGAGAGGAATAAAATAAATCATAACAAAACAAAAAACAAAAAACTACTTGCCTGTTGTGCAACAGTATCATCCACGTTAACAAAGTACTGCCTGGTGAAAACATAAAACCAATAATCAACTTTATCATCAGATTGAGTTACCTTAACAATCCCCAAAGTGATAACATAAGAACAGTATAATAACCTAAAGAATAAAAGTTTAATGTTAATACAGAGCTGTAAGTAACATACTTGACAACTGAATAGGAAGGATTGTCTTGCAATGGATTAGGATATGTCTGCATGATGTCCCAGAAGGAAAAAAGAAAGAAAGAAAGAAAGAATCAGTATATGTTTGTAAGCAATCAAAGACATATGTGAACTCATATGTATAAAGCTACTTTAGGCTTAAATTAAAAGTTGACAAAGTAATTTCACTGTGCATGTTACTGTGCATGAGGGATATGGAGGTTACAGGGAGATTGGGGATGTAGTCAGATAGGTGAGGAACATCTTCAAGGACATAGCCAGCAACTCCAGTGATGATCTTGGAATCAACCATGGTGATGATGGTGGTGTTGGATTCTGTGGAACCAGAAGCTGATTTTGGATACAAGGTCGCGTAATAGTAATGACATATGTAATTGTGACATACTTACATATGTATAAGTGTGTCGGTTGGAACACACGAGAGAATGCTCGATGTTTAATGACATATGTAAGTGTGACATATAAAGTTATGCTTGTACTTCATGAGTCATGTTTCATTTTCCATTTTATAAATTTTGTATTGAAAACTATTTGTGATTGTTTCATTAAAATTATGATAATGGGAACTATCAAGGGTATGAGAGTGCCCTTTCAATTCTTATAATTTTTAAGAGTTAATTTCTAATGCACTGCTTGTTCAAGGTTGATATTGACATTATTAGATTTCTCACAACACGTGAGTAGAGAGAAAAATATAAATAACTTATTGCTAGAGAATCACTTATAAGAATTAAATCTAATACCTTTTATATCAATGTCTTTTGATCCTACTAAGTAAAGAATCATAATTGTTGAGAAGAAAATTAATGGTTTATAATTTCATAAGATATGAATATATGCATAGGGTTTGCTTTTTCTGTAATCATTGTAGATAAATTGTTTGTAGTAACCCCAACATGGCATTATTTTGAGACGAAAATTATGATATTTTTGTAATTTAATTTATTTCAGAGTTAGTATAGTCTTTATAATTATAATTTTTTAATTTTTCAATCTCAAAACGACGTCGTATTGGAAGTGAATACAAATAATTTATCTGCAGTAACTGCACAAATATTTTTCTGACATGCATAATAGATAATAAATATGATAACGCTCTTCTACATTCCCATAAGAAAATTACAATTTTTATATTTTATTCGTTAAAAAGTATCTTTGTACAAATCTAAATTCATTGTCGCTCTTTACTCTTTAGCCACCATTTGACAACATTATTTGGGTTAAACTTGGTTCTGTAATAGGAAAAGCAAAAGTTTTTCATGCTGATACATAATCTTCGTGCTTTCTTTTTCTTTTCTTTTTTAATAAAAATCATGTGGGTCCATCGATTTTATGTGTCAACAGGAAATGTTAGTGTTTTCCTGTAACATAATTCTTGTTTTACCCTTATTTTAATAATAATAAAAAATTGCACTAATATATGCGAGTTTTCAATATTATAATTTATCAAATGTGGGGCCATGTGAGGCCCAACTTATACTCTGTAGAATTCTATAGGCCCAAGTGGATCCAGCCCAAACTTTTTTGGGCTTGGAGATTAAAATAAATATTTTTGACCATTTCCAAATGAATCTGTTTCTCTCTCTGTGTGTTGCCCTGCTTCATAGGCTTCTTTGCAGTCTCAGAAGAAAACAAGTTCATCGAAGTACTTGATTTTGATTTAGGGATTCATTCTCCTCATCACTCGTCATGTACAGAGCAGCAGCTTCATCATTCAGGAGGAATCTCAAGGTCACTACCACTAACAATCCCCCTTTTTCATCTCAACTCTATTATTATTATTTTTGTTATTGTTAATGTTTAGGACCAGAAGGTTTTTTTTTTTTTTTTTTTTTTTTCAATTTTCGGAACCTACCCAGATAACAAAACTCTATTTTGATCGGTAAAAATTTCTTTTTTATTGGTTTTCTAGGAAATCAGATTGGTGGGGTTGGATGTTGAACCTGTTACTTTTGCTTCTTTTATGATTCATTACATGAAATAAAATCCTATGTAACCGGTTATGATGATACCTAGATTGTTTTTCATGTTACAAATTAATATTTTTATTCCTCTTGGATTTTCATTTTATATATATATATATATATATATATATATATATATATATATATATATATATATATATATATATTATTGAGGGTGGACGAGAATTTTAGCTCGTTGTGGTGCTTTTCTGACAAAGCGGTAATTGATGGAATGGAATATTCATTTTGTGTTGAATGTTTCTGTTAGTGTCATGTTGTGTGATTAAACTATGTGATTAGGGTCATGGAGGCAACTTGGGAGCCACTAGGTTTGCGACTTCAACTGCTGTAGCCTCAAGGACTTCCTCTGGTGGTTTGTTTAGCTGGCTTACTGGGGAGAGTTCTAGTTCTCTTCCTCCTCTGGACAAACCACTTGGTGGTATTGCTCTCCCAGATCCATTACCAGATTATGTTGAACCTAGCAAGACCAAGATCACAACTCTTCCCAATGGACTCAAAATAGCATCAGAGACCTCAACAGTACGTGCATGTTTCTAGTTTTCTTTGGGTTGATATGTTAAATGACAATGCTATGTAAGATTTAATAGTGCTTTTGAGGTGTTTAGCTAGCATATTGATTAGTTTTATTTTTTTATTTTCATTTTGGTTGTTAATTAGAACCCTGCAGCCTCAATTGGGTTATATCTTGATTGTGGTTCCATCTATGAGACGCCATTGTCAAGCGGCGCTTCACACTTGCTAGAACGAATGGCTTTCAAGAGCACAACAAACCGTAGTCACTTTCGAATTATAAGGGAAGTTGAAGCAATTGGTGGCAATATAGGAGCCTCAGCCTCCCGGGAGCAGATGGGCTACACATTTGATGCTTTGAAGACCTATGTTCCACAAATGGTTGAATTACTGGTTGATTGTGTAAGAAACCCAGCCTTCTTGGAATGGGAGGTCAATGAAGAGGTATTTATTTTTTAAGATTCTCTTTTCCCAAGGACTGATCTTCTAATTCTTAAGTTAGCATGCTCATACATCATTTTCTGCAGCTAATAGGCAGGTCTTTTATCTTTTTTATGGTCTGCAGTAGGATGGATAAAACAATTACATGACTTCTTTTTTTAGAGAAAAAAAGTTATGGGCCTCGTCTAGTAGGGTAATGCCTGGTTGTTATTAAAAAAATTATGAGAAAATGAAACACGAATGGTGTCTCTTTGTACAGGATATTCCTTTCTTATATGTATGGCAACACTTTAGTAACCTGCAACTAATTAAATGAAAGGGAGAAAAAGCTATTCCTTATTTTTCTTTAGATACATATTTTAGCCTTCTAACTATAGCACAACTCATATGCTGAGTGTGAGATTAAATATTCTTAGCTCAGACTTCCTTTAAGCATTATGTCTATTTTCATTTTTTCTTTTGTGTACTGAGAAGCTGATACAAACTCTGGGAGAACCATGCCACAAAAGCATAAAAGCTAGCCATTGTGTTGGGACCCAAGGCCATATAAACCCCACATCAGAATCTCATACTTCCGATATAGGAGTATGGGACTCAAGTCCATACCTTTCAATTGGATCATAACATTCCACCAAGCTCTGCAGCCCCGATGCCAATGCAGGTTGTTGGAAGGCTTTGATACCATTTGATATGAACCTTGAGAGAACCACACCATAAAAGCTAGCCATTGTGAGGGGAGATCTCGAGACCATATAAACCCTATCTCAGAATCTCATACCTTGCAATTGGATCCTAAAAGAAATACATGAGTTCTGATAAAAGCATGCCATTTGGGCAGTATAGTATTCTTTGTTGATAGCTGTTATCGCAGTCCTTCTAAACTTGTTGAACCATCTATTGGTACAGCTTCGAAAGGTGAAAGCAGAGCTTGGAGAACTCTCAAACAATCCCCAGGGTTTGCTTTTGGAAGCAATTCACTCGGCTGGTTATTCTGGTGCATTGGCTTATCCTCTTTTGGCTCCTGAATCAGCACTGAACAGATTGGATGGCCCTAATTTAGAGCAATTTGTTGCTGTAAGATCTGTTATCCTTTCTGATACTCCATGAATACAACTGGTATTAATTTATGCAACAGTTAAACTTTTGTCTTTCTGCTTTTTTTCTTGCAATCTATTTGAGAATCTAATTGTTGTTGGATGTGAAAAATCAGGAGAATTACACAGCACCTAGAATGGTACTTGCAGCATCTGGGGTTGAGCATGAAGAACTTCTATCTGTTGCTGAGCCACTTCTCTCTGATCTACCAAGTGTTCCCCGTCCCGAAGAACCTAAATCTGTCTATGTTGGGGGTGATTTTCGCCGTCAAGGTGAATCAGGGGTGCGTATAAGTTTTTATACAATACAAACTTTTGTTTGTATCTCTCTTTTCATGTACTCCCTTCAAAAAAACATATATTGTTATTATTTACCTGCTAAGATATGTTGCAAAGGCAGGGTACACATGTTGCTATTGCTTTTGAAGTGCCCGGTGGTTGGCAAAAAGAGAAAGATGCTGTAGTTTTGACTGTTCTACAGGTACCCATTTTGTATTTCTATTCTCTCTGATTTCAATAGATATTGTTCCTTTAGTTTTTGCATCTTTTCTTCTGTTCCACAAAAAAGGAGGAAAGAAATGGTTGAATGGAAGTGATAATTCTGAGTCATGCAGATGCTTATGGGAGGAGGTGGGTCATTCTCAGCAGGGGGCCCCGGTAAAGGGATGCACTCAAGGCTATGTAAGTTTTACCCTATATCTTCCTGTGTACAGTTTAGTTTGGTGGTAAATAAAGTGCTTTATCCTTGCCATTTTGTTTTATCAAGTTTTCCATTTGAGAAGAGTTGTCTTTTTACTTATCTGTCTGATATCTACTTCACTTTCTTCTGTCCTTGTATTAATATACCTTCTCCAATATTTTAACTTGTTTTGCATGTACAATTGAATCCAGATCTTCGTGTGTTGAATGAATATCAACAGATTCAATCTTTTTCTGCATTCAACAGTATCTTCAATAGTACTGGACTGTTTGGCATTTATGCAAGCACTGTAAGGAATACTTTTTGTAGTTTCTGGGCATTCATTTACATGGATAGTATTTTTCTTTTTTAATATAGAAATGGGTTTGCTTTTTTTTTTTTCTCTTCCTTTTCCCTTTTTTGCATATTTTGTTCTTTGAAAGGCTGGGTTAGTATGTCTAGGAGAACATTGATCGGACTGTATAGCTAGTTTGAGGATTCTATATAGCTTGTTAATGACCTTTCAATTGTTACAAATGAATCATGATTGTCATCATTAAACAAACTAGTTATCCTATCTTCTGCTTCCTTTTCTTTTTCCCCTTTGCTTAAGCTGTGCTGTATTTTGTAATATTATCATGGGACTGTACAAGGGAGTTTCCTTTCCAGACTTGAATGGGAATTGGGGAGCTTTGCTGTATTTCTTTTCTTACCCTCTATATAGTATGCATTTGCCCTTTCTGTTTAGGGGAATTTCTTATCCTTTTACCTGTATTTTCCTTCTTTTCTCTCAGAAGTTTTCATTTTCTATCAAAAAAAATTCCCACTTCTAATACTCCCTGTTTACTATGTTTAGCTGAGGTTGACACATTTTCTAATTTGTGGATATAGAGCCCTGATTTTGTGCCAAAAGCTGTGGATATAGCAGCCAAAGAACTATTAGCAATTGCATCGCCTGGACAAGGTTTTATTTGCATCTCTCTTTTGTTTCTGCTGTATATTAGCGAGAATCTTCATTTCTGCCAAATTAAACTAGCGCTGCTTGCAATGACAGTTTCACAGGTACAGCTTGACCGTGCCAAAAAGTCCACCAAGTCTGCAGTTCTAATGAATCTGGAATCTAGAGTATGCCCTCAACTTTTTTATTACATAAACTATGGTGTTTTAATACCGTGAACGTTCTCTTTCATTTAGACTTCCTTGTTTACTCCTCCTTTCAGGGGTACCAACTTTTACAAACTCTATTTGTCCCCCCCTCCCCCCCCCAAAAAAAAAAAACCCCTTTTTCCCGAACGTGTCCACTTCAAACACAAAATTTTTCATGTCTAGCTTAGCAACTGTCTCCTTCCTCACCCGAGCTCTTAAAAGTATGGAATTATGTATCATTGCATGCTTCTGTCCTCTTGTGGGCTTCCATTCTCTTTCTATTTTATCTTCTGTTCTAAAGGGGAAATATGTGATTGGTTAGATTTCATATGATTCTTGTATGGTTAAAAATCATCATTTTTGCAGATGATTGCTTCAGAAGATATAGGAAGGCAGATTTTGACTTACGGAGAAAGGTAAAAAAACCTATCTCAAAAATCTTAAGATTTTTCTTTTGACTTGCATCCTGTTGTTTCTTTTCTTTCCTTTTTTTTTTGGTGGGTAAGATGATACAGTAAGGATAGGTTACCTCCAATATTACCAGTCAGCACACTAGTGAAATGCCTGATCCCATAGGGACAAGGAGCCCCCTACCTACCCTTAACCCCTTAGTAAACATAATCAAGTTGAGATTTGTGAATATTCTATTCACAAGCAGTACACAAAGATTTCGTGATCCGCTGCCGAACTTATTCCAATTCAATAACGGATCTCAATATTATACCTTGAAGAGGACTCGAACCTCCACGCTCTGTAGCACGAGATTTTGAGTCTCGCGTGTCTATCATTTCACCACCAAGGCATTTTGAAAGTGAATCGTATTCTATGAATATGATATCTATCTAATGTGATGTATGGAATATATGACAATAAACATAATCAAGTTGAGATTTGTGAATATTCTATTCACAAGCAGTAGACTGTTTTAAAGCTTGCTGGTTTGTTACTTAATACTTTTAACTCTTGAATGGAAGCGTAATTCTTTGTTTGTAAATTCTAATATAAGAATTTGTCACCCATCTCAGGAAGCCTGTGGAGCAGTTCTTGAAGGATGTGGATGAAATCACTTTAAACGATATCACTAAAATTGCTCAGAAGATCATTTCCTCACCTTTGACTATGGCATCATATGGGGATGGTAATTAATAAATTTTTTCCCTTTAAAGTATTTTCTCTACTGATAATGCTAGCCTTGACCATTGATTAACGAAGCATCATTTCTTTATTTTTTTTTATTTTTTTTATGACAGTTATAAATGTGCCAAGTTATGAATCTGTGAACAGCAAGTTCCATGCAAAATGAAATTGCTTGTTCTCAACCTTTTCATCGTCATAGTTTCTGGATCACACAAATGCCAACTTCCAATTTTCAAGAGCAGTACACCCTCTCAGCAATGCTGAAAATAAATCCCAAGAGAATTTTTTTTGTGCGGATCTGAGGAGCCATTATTAAGGTTCCGTGTTTGTCTTTTTTTATAATGACTTTGCCTAATGTATCAAGGTGCATGGTCCCGTGATAATGAACACGTTAATTTTTTTATTTATGAATTAATTCTCTCTCTTTTCTTAACTTTTAAAAGAGCATAAGAGTGGTGCATTTATATAAAATACAGAAGACATGAACCCTGTTCTTTCGAAAATTAGTACCTTATTTCCATAAATACTAAAAAATTTCGACTAGGCACCTATCCCTCTCATTTTCTCCCTCTTCTCTTGTAAACAAAATGGTGTTTGATCCATTTCATTGAAATGATTATGGTGTGAATTTATATTGAATGAAATTATCATTAGTTGATTTCATAATTTAATATGCTGGAATTAAGGGAAAAGAAAAATAAAATAAAATTTAATACGAGTTAATTTGATTTTAAAATTTCTTTGATCTCAAGTGTTTTCATGTTATCTATGAATGTGTTTTTCAAATATGATATATATAGTCATCTATGCTCTAGGATAGTGATTGTGTGAACATGGTTGGTTTTTTATTTCATTTCCATTTAGCCATTCAACTTATTATTTGACATGTACTAGATATGTGCATTTTTAACAAGACATACGCAATGTTATGTATATTAAATAATGATGTAAGGGCATGTTTGGTATATAGTACAAGATAAGGTTTGGTAGTATAAGATTTGATAGTATAAGGCATGATTGTAATAGAGCTGATTAAATTTTAATACTATCCAGTATTTGGAATGATATTGTATAATAAAATATCATTCAATGTTTGATAATACACTGTGTGATACTAGATAGGTTAAAAATAATTATTTCTGTGAAAAATATTTTTTAATAATGAATTTACATAATTCTTCTAAATATATCAGATGATATTATTTTTTATATAAATATATTGATCAGTGTGTTCAAAAAATATTAATTTTTATAAAAAAAAAACCTCCAATATTTAAAAAAATTATATATTGAAAATTTATTTTTATTTTAATATACTAATATTAAAATAATATATTAATTCTTGAGAATTGCATTAGTTAATACATCAACTCCTTATCAGGCCTTATCCTATCCTCTTAGGACTAATTAAGTTATACATCATTTTAATATATAAAGGAATACTGTTGTATAAGCTTATAATATCAAATTTTATATATCACGCTAAACAGCTGATAAAATTATGAATAACCAAGAATTACTTTGCAAATAGGCACGGTGAAGCACTCAACCCGTGGCAGGGGTAGAAATCAAATCGGTTTCAGTTTCAATTACATCTTAAATTAATGAATTAACTGAACTCGATTTTATTTAAGTTAATGTTTGTTTTAAATTGGTGTGGCTCGATTATTAATATCTGTGGTGAATATTATTTTTCTAAAAATACATAAAAATGTCATTATTCTGCTTTTGGAACAAGGGGAATTAATATTTCTCTTTTTATAAAAGATAATTTTATTTTGGGTTTGTATTTTCTTATGTAGTATGAGGTATCTTCTCTCATGTGGTAGACTCAAAGGCATTGTGGGTCCCACCACAATAAATAGAAAAGAAAAAAAGAAAAGAGAAGATACGCATTTCGATGTATGTGTAGGAAAAAATTCTTTCTCTTACTGCATGAGAGACATTTTTCTTTTTATTTCTTACACAAACATAAAAATACATGATGTCCATTATCCCGTAACCCTTGATTTCAGCTTGATCAATCGCCGGGCTAAAATTTTAAACAGTGTTCTACAATAATGTTAGTGGGCTTACTGATAAGAAAATTGAAAATAATGACCTCCTTCTTCTGTTCATGCATCAGGACAAGGCAAAGTGTACCATAAAGTTTTTACTAAAAGAAAAAAAGTGTACCATAAAGTTGAAAATCGTGACAAAAACGACGTGGCGAAAGGTAGAACAATAATGCTAGTGGGCAGAGAGAGTACTCAAAAAATATCAGAAATTATGAGCGCATTTTCCTCGTGCATGAGCAGTCACTTCAATCGTACTCAATATTATTGACAGAAATCACCAGAGAAGTCTGGAGTGGTGCAGAAGAATAGATATATTTTTATTTATTTCTATTTTTAGAAAGCTTTTATATATATATATATATATATATATATATATATATATATATATATAGGGATTTATACTTCTTATGTAATATAAGAAGAGCCTTCTTATGCTACACTCACATCGTTTTGCGTGTGAATATTTTTAATTTTTTTATTTAACATTTTTCAATGGGACGCACCTGAGTTTGTGTGTGTTGCAAAAATTCTCATCTTATGTCACATAAGAAGTGTAAACCCCATATATATTAATAAGGTTATATTAAAAAAAAAAATTTACAAATTACACTATGTCTGATCGGTAATAATTAACTCAATAATGTCTTACCGATAAGACATAGTGTAATAATATAGTTTGTAAACAAAAAATTTATAAATATAACATTCTTCTATATATATATAAAAAGAGACAGAGAGAAAAGTGTATACCATTTTAAAGATGTAAAATTATTTCATTTTAAGTGAGAGAAAAAGATGGATTATGGAGAGAGAGAGGACAAAAAAAAATGCGGGTCTCATTTCTTTGTGAAAGTGAAATGAGGCAAGTTGTGTCATTTAAAAGGACAAGCACTCAATAATGTCCTTTGACACCGGTGTCAAATTTCTCATCTGAGAGCCGTTAGATTAAAAAAGATCAATGGTGTCACATGCTTACAAATCAGAGTCGTTGATCTTTTTTGATCTAACGGCTCTCAGATGTGGTGTCAAATTTCAAATTTGACACTGGTGTCAAATGATCCTATCATATATATTTAATAATATAATTTAATTTTGGAGAAATGTATATTTATTTATTTTGGAAAAGGTATATTTTGAATATTCAACAAATATTATGGAACTAAATTTAATCATTTAAAAAAAATTTGATCTGTGATCCTTTAAAATTCAAAATAGACTCGTATTAATCATTTTAAAAGAGTAATTTCGATCTTCTTTGAATTTTATAAAGACTACAATTTCGATTAACTGAATCTATTTTGAATTTCAGAAGACCACAAATCAACTTCTTTTCTAAGTGATTAAAATGAGTCTCGTAACCATAATTTTTGTTAAGGACCCACAATTACTTTATTCAATTTATTACCATCGAGAGATTAGAGAATATCTAATTAACAAAAAAATATTTAATAATTAATATATATTTAATCTTGATAATATATTTTACTTTATAAATATAATAAATATTGTATCCACCAAAAAAAATGTGTTGGTAATAATATAAAAAAACATTTTTTATTTATGGGATTGGTGTTTATCATTTTAAATGACATAAGTTATGTCATTTTAGGAGAGAGATAAACACAGAAAAATCGAAATCATAGGAGAGAGAAAGTGGGTGGTTTTTTTTCATTTAAAATGTAAATAATTTTTTTTCTGTGTTTGTCTCTCTCTTAAAAGGACAGAGTATCATGTCATTTAAAATTACAAATACTTTTCCCTTTATTTATTTCAATTTATGTTTCTGATTTATGGGTTATTATTTAAATAGGGGTAACATTATGTGTTCGATTCTTTTCGATATTATTTTTGGGAGGAATTTAAAATTTTAATTATGAGATTCTTTTCAAATCAAATTAGTTAGAAAGTAATGAGAAATAAGGAATCGATTAAATATTAAAAAAAAATACAAATGGCTCATTAATGTATTGTAGATGAGGCCACACTGCATATCTACAACATATATGCGTAGCCTTGGATTTGGGTCCGCTCTTCTTCTGTTACCGTGGTGTTTTCTTTTTTGTCCACGCCACGTTTTCATTCAAATTTGCTCAGAGAAATGTTTACGAGGAAAATAGATAGAGAATCAATTGGAAACGTGGTCGACATTTGTGCCGTATTCTGGTGACCAATTCTTTTCTGACACTTGTCAAGATATTTTGATTGCATCGGATTCTCTGAGATATGCTAGTTCTTAATTACCTAAATGACATTTTCATTATTACGAAAGTGCATTCTATTTGCTTAGTATATGATTATATTCAGATTAATCGTGTATGTCTTTCAAATTCAGAGCATGCATGTAGAATAATCGATCAAAATCAAGATTTGATAGGCGAAAAATTAACAACATCAACGAGATAAAATGTAGTTTGAACATCATCATCATCGAGAGAAAAAGATCCTATATATAAAACTTTAAAAAGTCAATAAATATAAAGTTATATTACATTTATGTAATAGAAAATATATTATATCATGTCGTAGATATAATTATATGATGAACCCTACTAATTATTAAAAAAAAACACAAAAATTAATGGATCAGTAGCAAATGACATTACTCTCGTATAATATAAAAGTAATATAAACCATACAAATGAGCTACCAGTACTTAACGTGGGTCACCCTTTTGCTATATTCTCTACCCTCAGTCCTCAATTTGTAATTTTTTCTACAATACTCTCTTTTTAAGTGAAATTTCAAAACTAACCCCATACTTTTAAGCTTTTACTTTTGAAGGGCCACGAATATAATTTAATTTGTACGATGCGACAGCTCACGCACCAACCTCTTACGTCCACAAGTTTCACGTTTCTTTTTCAAGAGATATTACATGTTTAGACAATATCATTATTTTATATATGTGTTACAGAATAATATAAGTCTTTAAAAAGTCTTTTATCTAATATCTTAAGATTTTAGATTTAAATAATTCTTTATATGGTATTAAATTTTCAGCAACATCAAGGATATATAAGTCATTAAAAAGTCCTCATTTAACACTTTAAGATTTTGGGTTGAAATGATTCTTTACACAAAGTGATCTAAATCGATTCTCTCAAAATTATTTTCTCTATTTTTTGATTCAAACTCGAAATATTTAATTAATACAAAATGATATTATGAGTAAAGTATTTTTTGAATCCTCAAATAAAATTATAGAACCCAATTTAATTCCTTAGAAGAAAAAGCAAATTGACTTATGATCTTTTTAAAATTAAAAATAGTTCAATTAGTCAAAAATGTAATTTCTCTAAAATTGAAAGAAGACTCACGTTAGTTCCTTAAAAATAATAACATAGAATTATTTTGAATTTTAAAAAAATCACGAGTCGATTTTTTTTTTTTTTAAAGATTAAATTGAACCTTGTAATTTTTTTTGTTAAGAAACGAAAAAATATTTTTTTCTAATAATATTTTGACAGTATGCTTGTAAGTAAAA